CATTTGCATATTAGTTTTGTGTGAAACAAAAATGTTTATTCTTGCAACAAATAAGTGATAGATAGATTCAACGTCACAAATCTTATCTTAATTGTTGAAATCATAGAAATTGTTTTGGTTTAATTTTTTTTTGGGATTTGCAATTCGAAATCGAGTTTGAATTTTCTTGAAAAACTGTTCGTTAGATTTTCCGTTTATGTTTCTTTACTATTTCTTTACTATTTGTAGTTTGTGCTGTTTTTATATCTTTTGATACTTTCTGCTACTTAATTAATATTTGTAATTTTAGTCAAATATTATAAAAATGGAAAAATTAATAGTGATTCTTAAACAGAAAAATACCTATAAATAATTAATTTTTTCTTGTTTATACAAGATGATTTAAATTAATTGTTCCTTGTTTATACAATTTACAATTTATAACTTGTATATAAATTTGTTTATAAACAAAACAAGGAAAAGGAAAAAAAAGAGGGAGCAGTTGATTAGAGTCAAACTTACGTCGTCAGCCGTACGATCTGGTTTAGGAATTTGTCTTTGCTAAACTTTTGGTAGAGTTGACTTTTTCGTCAGCATCATTTTTTCTTCTCTTGGGTCTTATTTACGTTATATGTATTGCTTCTTCTTAACAAATGGTACTTTAGGTTGGTTGTTTGTAGAAAGAAAAAAACTTTTAAACCATAAAACACTACTATTTAATTCATTAACTCATTTGGAACTAAACCATATAACATGTTTTGGTTTCGGACCTGAGAGGATATTTGAGCTTTGGCCAGAACCTTTTTGATTATTAAAAAAAAAAAGTATATAATATAATGATGATATCATTTTAACGGAATTTCTTATTGTTGTGAAAAAATAAAACAAAAACCAAGAACATTTTATTGTTTGATTTAGACCTCAAGTTAGTTTATTACATGTTTGAACACAATGCCTTAAAATTTGCATGAAAACATAACTAAATTTTCTTACAAATAAGTGATTAATGAACAGTTTTACAAATAAACTCTACAACAACAAAATTCTATATATACTATAAAAGAGTTTATTGGTAACGTATATAAAATTGTACAGAAGGAATTGTAGGCCGAAAGTTACGGAATAATGTAAAATTGTAAGAAATATCGGTACATAAAAATTGTACAAAAAGAGTTGAAAGTAAAGTTTAGTAATGCTTTTGTAATTGATAAAAATAAAAACTGTATATTTGTAAAGTTTTGTACCGTTTTGTAAAATGGTTACAAAGACCAAAATTACAAGTAGACACTTATACATATGGGTTATATATGTTTGAACATTAAAAATATGTCTACTAAATTTGTCTTTACTACTCTACAATTATTCTTAGTTTATAGACCCTTATAATTTATTTCTTTTTTTAAAAAAACAACAAAAACCCTTATTAGGTGTAGAATGATTCAACCTTTTAGCTAAACCAGATCACGACGACTAGACATTCACACAGTAAGATAGATTCATAGAAAGATAGACATGATCGACCAAATGTAATCTTGTTAAATAGAAAAACACAGGAAATAACTTAAAACATTATTATAAGTCTAGAGAGAAAGAAAACAAAAGTACACACAAAACTTGACTGAAGAGACACTCAAAGTCAAAGACGGAAAGCTGACGAAACCTCTTCAAACCTTTTTATTCCGCCACCGAAAGGTTCCTTCATTGTTTTTTGTGTCACTGAAGTTTTTCTTGAACGTAATTTTAGTTTTATCATATCATAAAACAGTTGTGTGGTGTCTCGTCCCAGCCGTCACCAAAATCAATTTTATAGATATAAGTTACGAACAGTAATCATACCGCATTACAAAACTGCACCGCAAAATAACGTGTAGTTGTCATTACATGAAAGAAAACAAAACGAGAATGTGTAGTTGTCAGGTTTTGAATGAGAGAGAGATTCATAAAGTTAGAACAGTGCAAATTTTGTTTTATGAGAAGGCATTTAAAGTTTTCAAAGATGCAATAAAAGAGATTGGAGAAGTGTTTAGGTCCATATGCGTGTTTCTTTCTAAGTCATCCATATGAGTGAGTGGCATTTATTAAGGTTTCGAATTTGATAGGATCATGAATCTCTTTAGTTGTTTATTTCTTCTACTTAGACTTTGTGTGTTTCCAAGATTTGTGAGAACTCAATGGTTCCAAACTTCTCAATTAATCACGTTTATAGCTTACTTATCTATCAAGTTAAGATGGAGTATATGTTTACATGGGACATAAATTGCTAAATTTCAATATTTGTTGAGAAATCCTAATGAAGCAAACGAAAACTTTCAGAAGTTGTAATTGTGATCAAATTTCAATTCCACCCACCTAATAGTATATTGTTTTAAAAGAGCAAACTTACTTCTGACTAATTTGATGAGATACAGACCAAGTATACAAACTTGTTATAACTAGAGGCGAAGTATATGTAGAATAAGTGTATAAATTATCAAATCTTGAACCATCTCTTGCAAGCTTGTCCATGGAGTGAGGATAAGATATCAAACTCAATGTTTGAACTTTCAAAAGTATTTGGACATTTATGTATCCTACGTAAGTTTAACTATGAAGCGAGTACGAACCCGAAATTTGAGCAATACGATTGCAATAAAGAAAAATTGTGATTAGCTAACTGTTTCACTACGATTTGCTCGTGAGATTCTGAGTTATGTAGTAGCATTCATATTCATTAAACATTGTATTTATCATCAACCCGGAAAGAAGAACTCGGTGAGACGGTGACTGTTGTAGTCCATAATACTCTATAAGCATATCTAAATTTCTCTTCTTTCAAAACATAATATCGATAGAACTTATCTAAATGATGATTACGGAAGAGTCAAGTACAAAACATTATTCTCATTTAAACCAAGATGTAACAAATAAGATACATTGTGTTCATCAGGTGAAACCAGTAAAAATAGTCAGGATGATAAAAGAGCAAAATCTGTCTAAGAGACAGGCTACGAGAGTCTTTATCTCAACTCCATCCCTAACAAAGACTTAGGCGGATCAAAAGAAAACAAAAGACCGACCTTTAAAACCGCTACTTCTTCTCTCAAAGGATTTGATATTTGCTGACCTGAACAATTTGATAGATCATTCACTGCTCTCTGTTGGAGCCGGTTTCTTTCCATACTGCTGCAAGAAAAAAACAAACCGAGGATGGAGTTAGAAAACTATTACTAAACTTGTTCTGTGAAGGACAACATAAACACATAACATACCTTTTTCCCAAAAGAGAAAGGGACGTATCTGTATTTGATCATGTGTTGTATCTGTTTTCTCATCGTGAGGAAAAACAGCATCACCCAGTAGAAAAGAAGTATTGGCCAGAAAACAGGTACATCAAACACCTCGAAGAACGTCATCATAAAACCGATGGTGAAAGCCCTTACAATCGATAACCTTCAAGGAAAAATACACACAACATTTCACATCAAACAACGACATCAAAAATCCAAGTGAAGTGACATCTTTATGCAACCTTCAACAAAATAACAACACTCTTCAATGAATCGAATCGGTACTTCATCACATTCTAGTCTGATAAACCAAAAGATAAAAACATTCATAGGCTTCAGAACTTGCCATCAACCTTCAATAAAATTTGGTTCTGAATCTTTCTGCAAACATAGTTTCTGTGTAAAATTGTATCTATCTAACTCTATTCAAGTTGATCTTCTCAACAAAGCAACTAAGCAAGTAATCAAACTTCATCATCATCCTCGCATGTGAATCTAAGGATTCAGTCAAAACTCATCAGCAATCAAACGAATAAGACTATGGCCAATTTCTCAACTAAAACCCTAGATCAGATCTAACAATTCATTCTACTACAGAATTAGACAAAGATCAAAGAAAGCGAACCAGAATTTGAACTCAGGGAGACGGCGGACGAACGGTCGATACTCATCGGATCTCCTCGTAGGAAGAGTACCACCGGTGGTGAGAGAAGCCTCAGGATCTTCTTGAGGAGACAAGAAAGCAATGATGAGGTTCAAAAGGTAGATTCCGATGGCGTAAGTGATGATATAGAACCCTTCAACGAAGTAAACACGAACGAAGTAGATCAACACGACGCAGAGGCATGCGATCCATCGATACAGAACGTGAGGCACAGTTTTGTCGAGAAGATGTTGTTGCCGCTGCGTAACGGCGTGGATCAATCGGTTAACTGCGTCGGCGGGTGATGATGATGAGTCGCTCGATTGGAGATTATCATCGGCGGTGGTTACTGATGTCGCCGGAGGGACACCACTAGCCGTGGATGCGGGTTCCATCGGTGGATTAGTCAGTCTCTGGTTTGGTGTCTCTGCGCCTCGAAAACTGCGACGGAGGAGACGGAGATTGGTAGATTCGGATTTGGGGATTTTGTTTGGGGTTCACATCAGATCCGGTTTACGAATGATTTTATTGGTTTTTAATTGGTAGCTTTGGTATCGAAATGGTATAGAGTTAACCGGCGTATGTTATTTGATCAATTTTTTGGTTTAGGTGAAGGTTTAATAGTTTAGAAATCGAATTCAATAAAATCTGACTCTTAATTATAAAACAAAATATCAAAATTAAACTCGATCGGACGTTTCGATTTGGGTTTGGGGTTCAGTTATTTTTTTTTTAATTTTTAGGATTTTTGATTTACGAAAGATATGAAATTATATTCAAACTAAAATACATTTTAATGGATAGTTTGGTTCGATGTCGGTTTTGGTTCAAATTCGGGTTTTAATCAATTTAAACCATATTTACATGTTCCCATCACTAAATATTTTTATAATCAAGTGTGTAAAACTAATTCTATACCAACAAATAATGGAGAATGTAACCGAATCAAGCTAAACCAAATCATCAAAGCTAAACCAAACTATAATCTTGAAGATTTGGTTCGGTTTTGGATAACTTCTTATCTTTATTTAATTATTTAATTAAACAAATAAGATAAACAATATTGTTAACTGATATTTCTTTGTTGTTTTATCTCAATTTCATTCACCAAAATATCAAAGCCACAACAACAAGAAGCTTTTATATGATAAAGATGACAACACAAAACTTAATTTAAAGATTCAAGTATTGTGAAACCAAACAAAAACCCAAACTGAATACAAAACCAAATCAAATACAAAACCGAACTAGACTACATTGATTATGAAGTCAACTAAAATTTTACTAATACCAACAAAATCAACGAACCGAACCTACAAGTAAACAAAATGGCCACAACTATTGCATCATGTGTATATACTTCAGCCTCAAAGAGAGAGAGGCTTACAAAGTTAGTATAAGATATTGAATATTAATAGTGTCCGTAATGGTACGATGGAGACTTGGCCGAAGAGCTAATAGGGAATTTCTCAAACACTACCAATGCCTCTTTCATGGTCGGTCTCTTTTGTGGTACTTGAGATGCACAACTATATCCCAACTTGAAAAGGCCAAGTAAAAAGTCCTCTTTGCCTTCCAATTCGGAGCGGATCGCCACATCAGTCATTATCAACGCGCGATTTCCATCTTCTACCGTTAGTCCATTCCCAAGCCCGACCTCGTCAACTGACACGATTTTTCCTGTCAACAACTCGAGAAGGATCACTCCGAACCCGAACACATCCCATTTCGGATTCGGTTTGAGATTGCGGAGTGATTCAGGCGCGCAATAAGGCGATATAGGCCCAACCGAGCTTGGACTTGGGCTCGGTGTAGGCCCTATAGACGCGAATTCACGCGAGGATGCTGTCAATCGCTTGCTACTGAAAATCCGAGATGATCCACTAGCTCGGTTATAACTAGTATCTCCCGCGAGAAGCCGTTCAAGTCCGAAATCGCCAATCTTAGGCTCTAAATCGTGGCCCAAAAGTATATTACTAGGCTTCAAGTTACCGTGCACATGTTTCTTCTCGTGGAGGTAAGCAAGCCCACGAGCCAAACCTTTAGCTATCTTGAACCGAGTCTCCCATGGTAAATGGCACGGCGACGACCCTCCTTTCCCTGACCAAATCACAAACCAAATTCAGCAAATTACAATATAAATGACAAATAGGTTTGACCAAGACCAACCGTTTACTTTATCAAATATAGGTATAACTACCACCAACTAATACGCGTACAGTAGCAAAACCATGGAGTATAATGCTACCATGCGCCTAGAATGAGATTGAAATGTGAAATAGATGAAGGTTGACTCACTGTAACGGGCGTTGACGAGGCTGCCGTTAGGGACAAAATCGTAAATGACCAGTTTCTCGTCGGTGCCCCAATAGAACCCACGGAGACGCACCAGGTTCGGGTGAACCAGTTTACCAATAGCTCGGATATGAGCTTCAAAGTCTTTAAACCGGCGCTGTTGACTTAAACCGTTCTCACCTAACCGACGAACCGCGAGAACCGTACCGTCTTCAAGAACCGTCTTGTACATTATACTCGAACCGGTTGCTCCTAAAACGTAAGCGGAAGCTTTGAGCAATGTTTCAACGTCAAGCTCTTTCTCTCCTCCATCAATGGTTACTAAAGTCCCTTTCTTGTTCTCTCCAACCTCTCCTGACCGTTGATTCTCGTCGTCTTCTTCTTCGGTTTCATCTGTTTCTTGATTCTTACGGAGACATGACCATTTCCCGAATCTACTTGATTGTTCCGGTGATGAAGAAGATGTAGTTGTTGATGATGATGGTGATAACGAAGTTGTGTCTTTAGCTTCATGAGCTTCAAGATTTTGATTGTTGTTCTTCTCAACGATTTTTTTCTTTTTGTATTTGTAAACGTAGAAGAAGATGAGAGCGAGGATTCCGATTCCGGCGATATCTCCGACTATGATTCCGATTATAACTCCTGGTCTTAAACCGGTTCGAGGGTTTGAGTTTTGGTCCGGTTTGGTTTCTTGATTTGAACCGAATGATTTCGGTATAGCTGCGAGCGCTGGCGTAGACGTTGGTGAAGCGACGGTTGCTGGAGAGGAAGGAATGGGACACGGGTTTCGGGTCGGAGCTCCGCATAAACCCGGGTTTCCGGAAAACGAAATTGGTTTCTGGTTAAGGTAAACCAGAGAATCTGGGATTGAACCGGTTAAATTGTTGAAGGAGAAATCGACGGTGGCGTTTCGAGGTAAACCGGCGCCGACTTTTGGAGGAATCTCGCCGGAGATCTGGTTATACGAGACGTTCAGGTACCGGAGATTGTCGCCGGAGAAATCAGGTGGAAGTGAACCATTGATTAGATTCGAGGAAATGTCGAGAAACTGAACCGATCTCCATCCGCCGCCGGGAAACTCGCCGGAAAAGTAGTTGTTCTTTAAAGAAACCTCCGTTAAGCTCCCAAGAGACGCCAAATTAGCCGGTAGTTTCCCGGTAAAGATGTTATCGGAGAGATTTAACGTCTGGAGGTTGTGTAAATCTCCGATCGAAACAGGGATCTCGCCGGAGATTAAGTTGTTTGACAAATCAAGAAACACGAGCTTATCGGCGGCGAAAAACTCTACCGGTAATGACCCATTGAGTGAATTGTTGGAAAGATCGAGACTTTGAAGGTTTTGGATGAAACCCAGATCGGAAGGAATCGAACCGACGATGTTAGAGTTTGGGAGAGACAGAGTCACAACTCTTGAGTCGTTATTACACAACACACCTCGCCATGAACAAGGATTGTCGTGGTCGTAGCTCCATGATTGTAATAAAGAAAGAGGATCACGAAGAACAGAGTATTTAAAACTCATTAAAAGAACTCCATCAGAGTTTAAAGCAGAGGAAACAAGAAACAGAGAAGAGAAGAAGAAGAAGAAGAAGAAGATCAATGAAAGTGATTGTGTTTTCATGGCTTCTGATGAAGCAACCGCATCGCTCTAGAGAGAGTCAAGAGGTAGAAGAAGAAGAAAGAGAGAGAGAGAGAGAGAGATATAAAGATTAGAGTGTGAAGGGGGAAACAGCTCACGCGAGTCACAGAAGCAAACCACTCTGTTTCTGCTGCTTCTTCTGCAAAAATATGCACAGTTGTTATAAATACTATAAAATCAATCAATATGCTTTTTTATTTTTGTTTGTGTGTTTTATTTTTCTTTGTGTTGAAGTAATCAATGCATTTTTGCACTTCCTGTTTCCATGGTTCATTTAATCATTGAACATCACAAATATATATATATATATATAT